ATATTATCAATATTCACTTTTCTGCACATAAAATTAAAAACTTGGTTTTTTTCAACTCAGTATACAATGATATTATTTATTACTACCAACCAGTTAGTGACATAATTTCAGGATGGTGTTTCATGACAGTAACTAATATATCCCATATATCACTAGTCAAGTGTTTAATTGGATCTCATTACAAATCACTGTTTTGTAAATGTGCTTCAAGAAGGAAATTGTCAAATTTATTGTTTGTCAATGGTATGAAAGCAAATAAACATGGTAAGTAATATTTTAAGAACTTCATTCCATCTAAGAACAGGAATAATTAATATTTATGTTTTTAATCATTCCAGTTCTTAACTGAATAAAGTTTTAAGTTGAAAATCTGGAACCCTTCTATCTATAAAGAATATTTTTGATTAAATATATTCTTGTATTTACTACAAGGCAGCAGTCATTTCTTTGCTCTGAAGGAGATAAAATTAAGATTTGTAAAAAATAATTACTCAGGGTGAAGTATAAAGCTAATAGTAGATAAGTATAGGCAGATCAAGTAATTACTCAGCTCTCCAGATATGTTATGCTAGTTGCATGTCCAGATCTAAAAAGTGCTTGTCCTGAACAGATAAAGGGCTAATTAATGCCCTGTTCAAAATTTTAAAAGAAAAAATTCTGCCTATGTTTTATTTTAAAATTGAACCACAAATATGTAGTATTTTATATTTAGGGAGATGATGTAGATAGTGTACTGTATACTCACATATGTCTTGATGTGTTGATATGAAAAAAATAAAAAATATCTATTCAACTCTATGATTTTCAGTAACCATTACTTATTTAGTCTGTTCTGTAATATGTGCCTTTTTCTACTGTAGTTGTTTCAAGAAAATGGCATCAAGTTTGTTACAGCTAGTGGTGTGTCTCATTTCAATGGAAAAGATGGAAACCTTTGTGAGGTAGTGTTTACTGATAATCAGTGTCTTCCAGCTGACCTCTGCATTTTAGGAATTGGTATGGTTATAATTTTCTTTTTTTTAAATAGTGTAATGGATAGATTATATTTGGTTTTAGTTGATGTCTTTTTTTTCTACACTATTAACACTTTATCATCACTGCCACCTGTACATTTATGTATGCTAGACAGGATCTCCACCCATACATTAAGCCAATTATGGTAATGAAAAAACCCTTCCATGGATGATAAAGGGTTAGAAAGAATATATAAACTAATTTGAGGATGCTAAGGTTTATAGTCATTAAAAAAAAAAGATTAAAAACTACAAGTATCATTGCAATTGAGGAAGAAACAACATATTAAAGCTTTTGATGTTAAGTAAAGAAAAACAAAAAGCTCTGTAACAGTTTAGTAATTAAGTAAGTTTTGGACTGGAAACCTATCAATATTTTGTATTTAAGACAAAACTAGAAGCCTAGTAACACTTTAACATTTAAGTGAAAAGAAACTAGAAGCTTTGGTAACACATTAAAAGTTAAATTGGGTAAAATCACTCATTGTCTGTGTAAAATTTTATAGAAGACCCCAACAACAATTAGTGGGATTAACTGGTATATTGATGATATTTTAATTTCAATATTTTTGTGTAACTTTTATGTACACTGTAATCAAGAAAGTAATGGACCACAAGCAATATGGTGCAAATAGTTTAGAAAAATGTGTTTTAAAAGGCAGTGGGGTCCATATGACCTCACTTGTAATTTCAGAGTTGAGTAATAAAGGATCAAAAACTCAGTAACAATTTAATGGCTAACTAATGAAGGTTTGAAAGCCCAGTACCTCTTTCTTAGCTAAATAGCAAAAGGGAGGAGCCTTAGTAGCATATAGTTAGAAACAAAATGTATGAAACCTAGTAACTCTTGCACTTAGCTAACAAAAGGCTACAAACTTTCTAATACTTTTATAACTAATTATTAAAACATAAAAACTACATAACAAAAGGAAAGAAGCTTACATTTATAGTTGAATAAGAAAATAAAAAAGTTTGCCATGTTTATAATTGAGTGACAAAAGATAAGAGGCCTATTAACACTTATAGTTCACTAGCAAAAGATGAGAAATTCATTATTCTTTTTTATAGATAAGTAATAAAAGATAAGAAGCTTATCACTACTATAGTTGAGTTACAAAAGATGGCATCTTTTATAAGTAAATAATGAAAACTTTTGTCATGCTGATATTCATGATTTAAATTTGTTATTTACTGTCATCATCAATTTTAAAATGTAACTTTCTAGTTTTGTATCCTGTTCAAATTAGATTTTTTTTTTCGTTTTTGCAATCAACATAAGCTTTTCTTTGTTTTGATTTAGGAGTGACACCGTCTACTGACTTTTTGAAAGATTCTGGAATTAAGGTCAACGAACAAGGCCAGATTATTGTAGACAAAGTAAGAAATAGAGATATTGTAGGAAAGAGTATGAATTTAAATGGGAAATAATTAGCTTTTTGATCACAGTAGTTTGTTCTGCTTCATGTATATTTTGAGGCAGTGGAGGTATCACAGCTAAGAAACACATAGATTTCTATGTCCAGTCCGTACTCTTCTTTTTATAGTGCCTGCACAGTTTCCTTCCCTTTCCCTGGAACCCGTTCCTCGCTCTTATCCCTTATCAATCTTCCTCTGTTTGGGATCTTTCCCCTTCTATCCTCACCAATTGAGATCGCCTTTTGCTTCGATTGGCTTCTTCCTCCTTGTCTCCCCCCCCCCCCCCGAGATTTTTCGAGGTGTCTTCTCATCAGATTTGACACCTCACCTTTTCCCTCGCCTTTCGTCTTTGTCAGTCATTGGAGGAAATCCTACAGTTGGGCATGTGGACTACACCTAATACGATAATCTCTCATTATTTACACCATATCGCAGTTTCTTCTTCATCGGGTTTTCGTCTTCCACGTGTGGTTGTTCTTCATATTTCAGTGCAACTTTGACTGGGTAAGTTAATATTCATGCTTTTTCTTTCAGGGGCCCATGCTTCATTTCCTCATTATTTGGATCTCACTCTGTGTTGAGTGGTTCCTGACCAAGTATTCTTTAACTTGAAATCTGCACTGTGCAGCTATGTTGACTTGCGCTTTATCTTACATGGCTTCGCAATGCTCACTGTTGAGATGGGGTGTTCCACAAGATCGCTTGTAGGTGAATAACCTCAAGATGTACTTGCTTCATAAACTTGCTCATTCTGGACCATACCACTCATGGACTGCGTAGGTAAAGCAGAAGGGGATAGCTGCCCATCCCTGCCATGCCTTGTATTGAATAAATCAGTATGGTCTGCTTTTCAAAATAGGGTTTCGTGGTCACCCATTGCACTGTCTCAGGTAATGATGTTCCTCCGGACTCTCCACTGCATTCTCACCCCCATTTCTTCTAGTGGAGTATGCGAGTCTTTACCACATTCCAGTTGCAAGCTGCTGGGATGGTCGACCATGGAGGCATCCTCCTGAATGGGTTCCACACAAAGATGGCTATAACAATTCAGTGTAGATTAGGGTGTTGGTGTTCTGCAGGTGTGGATGATGTGATATCCTCTAATATGCAGTATGCATTCACTAAGGAGTTAGACGTCAAAGTGCAGTTCACCCCTTCGATTGGGATCCCTCATCCTACTCCCATGTGGATATCAGTACCCTGTGGCTGGGTTTTGGATTTAGATTACAACCAATCAACATAAGTCCCCACACATGTTTAGGGTGTTATCTTCCTCCCTCTATCATACTCCTTATATGTTGGGGGGGTCACAGTGGAGATAAAGGGGGATTTTTCCAGTTCTGTCCTGTTTGCTATCTCTTGTTGTATCTTAATCTGAGGATGTTATTGCTTTTCAGGTGGTTCTGCTCAGTCTCACTGTTGGAGGAGTTGGTTTATATTAGATGGACATCCTTTCGATACCAGATGTCTGGTACATGGATCAATCAATTATATCTAACATATGTGTCATGCTCAGGAGTTAGAATGGTTCTAGATTCCTATTGGTCTCTTGAACTTGAGGTGAAGACAGTATGATCCTCATCCTACCCCATGTGGATCTCAGTTCCCAGCGGCATCAGTTTTGGATCTAGTTGACTTACTGAGTATGGTCCTTCATACCCTAGCCACTCTATACCTAGGGGCACATCCATTGTTTTACTCACTTTTATACTTGGTGGGATTGAGTTACATATATATTTACATGCTCCTCTCTTTTTCCGCCCTTATCTACTTCATATTTCATGGATGGGCGAAAAGTATACCTGTTTCAGAGGTGGTGCAGTTCCCATCATCAGATCTTTGGATCTGACTCTCATTTCCAGGGGTATCCTTTGGATGCTTTTGGGGGGTACTTCTGTAATTCCCTTGCACCGGTCCTGCCTCCTAATCAATGTAGGGAAGTACCATATCAGAAGTTATAATTTTCCTATAGTGAAAATGTATTTTCGATAGGTACTTCCCTCTTCTCACCCTTCCTCCCCACTTTCCTCCAGTGCTTTCATCTTCAGCCAAACCTTGAAGTGATAGTTTGGTAGAGGCATATAGAGGGAGTTGCATGCATCACGTATGTCATGCTCCTATTGGTGGAGAAGTGATGCATGATGATTTACATGAGAGACATGTTGGAATCATTCGATTTCAATAGGGGGGGAGCAGAAGGCTTGTGACATGCATAAAGAAATAATTTCCATATAAAGGGCAGCACTGGATGAGAATAATTAATCTTGTGAGAGGAGGGAAGTACCCGTCAGAAATACGTTTTCAGTACAGGAAAATTATAACTTTTCAACTGTAAATTGTATATTTTTGTGTAAGTTGTTTTTGTGTTGAAGGAATTTTGTTTGTTCACTTTGACAAGTAAAGTTGCAAAATATATCACCTACATATTTAAGCCAAAATGCAGGCTTACATAAGGAAGTGACTATGGCATGTTGTTCTTTGTGATGTAAGAAACGAGTAGCCACAGTACCTGATAATGGATTTCCCATGGCAAGTCCATGTAACTGAAGGAAATACAATTATCTATATTGAAAGTAAATATATGTGGCTAGTTGTAATAGTTTGATTAGGTGTTCTTGTTTCAAGTTGATTCTCTTTTTGGGGTCATTTTTGCAGTAAGTTCTATCACTTCATGAGAAGGGGTTTGAGGAAATAGGTTTACAGCATCAAAGCTAGACATACTAATGCTACTGTCTAAACTATGTAAGTGTTGTAGGAGGTGTGAAGTGATTTTTAATTGGGTGCTTAATTTGGAAATATAAGGTTCCAAAATCCAGTTAAAGTACTTACCAAGGTTGTAGTTTAAAGAATTATAAGACATAATTGAGTGTAAGGCTATTGGGTTTTTATGAACTTTCAGTAAATTGTAGGTTTTTGATTAGTTTGTATGCAAAAAATTGTAAAGTTTAAAAATAATAGTTTTTTCTTTGAATAATATTTTGAGTAGTTTGCTAAATTTTTTGTTGTATGTTAGGTTAAAGTCAGTATCTGACCAAGTAAATTTAGATGTATCATTCAATATATTTACCCTTAAGGAATCATACTGTTTGACTGCTAAATTCATGATAAACTTTTCATTATCGGCTCTTAGGATAACAATGTCTTTGTTGCTTCTGAAATATTTTAGGCCTTTTCTTTATGCTGATGTCAAATTATGTTTTTTAGTCTTCTTAATGTTTAGTATTTTCAAAGTATTTTTGTGTTTTTTTCACTAAATTCATCTAAAGTTTGGTAATGTACCTGCTTTTGGTTTGATAGGGAAATTGCTCATTATATTGTTTCTGTCTTTTGGAATTATGAATGTTTCTGGTGATTCTTAGTTTTACTGTGAATTAGACACACTTTCTGCTTGAGGTCTTGGACTTGGGATTAGTTGCTATTGCTAGGATTTGTGATTTGATTGTATTATTACTTTCCAGTAAAGGTCTTTATAGCTAGTTTTTAAATATAACACTGGGATGGTGGGAGGAGTTACTGTATAGTTAAGACCTTTATTTAGTGTTGTAGTTTGAGATTCACTGAGATGAAAGTTCACAAAGTTGATTTACATTGTTCTTTACAACACGTCATGATTTGTTTCTTTTGAACCGTGCAAACAGATGAAGTTTTCTTGCTTTCTATCTAGATTTCATTTAATAGTTAAGCTTTTAAAGCAGGTGCTTTTCTGTATTAATGATGAATATAAGTTATAATTATCAGGGTTAGTGAAACGTGAGATTGCTTCCTAGGTTAAGTTCATTTTTGCAGAGAAATGTCAGTTCTCTGTGCTTTTCCTTTATAGTTTGTTTTTAAAAGTTTCATTTGAACTTTTTCTATGATACTTTTTATTTTATGTTAAACTGGAGATTTAGTTTTATTTTTCAGAAGGTTAGTGTCAACTTTTCTTTTTTTTGCATGTTTTTTGAAAGGTTAAACTTAAAGTTACATTCTTCAATCTTTTTTATATCTATCCTTAACATAAGCAGATTCGTTCAATGAAGCTTATGTTGTTTGATTGTAACATCAGGCTTATTTGGCTTTTGTACAATTCAGGATGAGGAAATTAGACTATATCTTTGGTTAAAAGGGATTGAGGATGTATGTAATTTCTCTAATTCTTATGCATTTTAGATGGCATCTTGTAGTTTTAGCATTTTTACCTTAGGTGCTACTTCTTGGTTTTGAGGAAACAGGTTAGGCTTATAAATGTAGTGATGTAAGACTAAAGTGATAGGAAATTTGTATGTTAGACACAAAATAATTGCTGCTGTACTTTGAGTTAATAAATAGTTGTTTTATGTTAAGAAGTTGAACACCAAACAAAATGAGCTGAAAATGTATTTTGTTTGTACTGGCAGTATATGCAAACCAACAAGGAAGGAGTATTTGCTGCTGGTGATATTGTGAACTTCCCCCTGAGTGTACTTGAAAACCAAGAAGTGAATATTGGTCACTGGCAAATTGCTCATGTCCATGGTAAGTTCTGTATTATCCCATCTTAGTTGTGAGATTGAAACCGTCATAATATACAGCAAAAAAAGTCTGAAACCAGAATGTATGGTAGACTTTGTTTTACAAGTCGTGCACAAGTGTCATTGTTAGTAAGTTGGAGTTGGTTTTGTTTCATATGAAAAGTTTAAAAATTAGTGTTTAAAAAAAGATGTTCATCCTGATGAGGAGCATCTTAAATTTGAAGTACAGTTTTCTAAGTGAGGGTAATGATCATCAATCAGTAAATCTTGCTAAATGCTATTGTTGATGTGACATACTATGTTACTAGGCCTAACGATACTGATAAAAATCATATTTGACTTCAGTTTTTTCTTGTTCCATTTAAAATGTCTATATTATAGATATGAAACCATAGGTGGAAAAAAGCATTTCAGATGCATATTTTGTCCCCCACATGTCACTGCTTAGGAGCTTTTTTAATGCAAAAGTTTAACTGAAATGCCATAGGGTGGGATTACAAGAGGGCAAGTAGTAGCTTTTTTCCTGTGGGATATAGTATACATGACATTCAGAATAATTGAAACTTTTTTGCCCCCCCCCCCCCAACCTGAATTCACTGTGCAAATTCCCCCCTATTGAGTAGAAAGGCTGCCTTCATTGAGTGCATAGTCTCTTGTCACTGTGCTTGTTCTTATTTCTTAACTTATAAGAAGAATAGCTTGCTGGTTCATCAGTTCTTGTGATTTGATAGTAAAAGTTAAATAAAATAATAATAAATAACTAATTACTTAATTATGAATTATAAATAAAATAAATAATTTTGAGTTACTATTTCTTACTCTAATTAACAATTAATTGTTAATTCAGCAGCTGAAGCATATTTATACTGCAGAGTTGTGTTAGTTTAAAAAATAGTATTTTAAAAATCTAATATGAAGGACCACAAAGTTCAACACTTTATTTAACTATTTTTATATGTTCCTTTTTCATAAATTTAAACTAAGACACTTGCATTGCATTTCTGTTTCTTATAGGATGCTATACATTTGTTGTTAAGTACATATAAGTAGGTGGATAAATATAGCAGTGGTGGAGACTGGCATCTTACAAGAATATGAGGGAAATTGGTTATTTCCTAAAAAAAATAAAGGATGTGTTTAATTTCTACTTTTTCTTGAGGGTGGGTGTGCAGGGACAAACTTGAAGAACCTTATTATATTGTCCATATGTTGAGTTACAGGAAACAAAAACACACAGTTTTCAAGAAAAGCAGTTATTATTATTTTTTGGAACAAGGTAAAAAGATTACCTGTTAATTTGGAGACCAAGTTTACAAATCTTTGCACAAAACTGTTTTCATTGAATCTAATGGAATCATCTTCTTTCAGTATGACAGAAACATTGTCATAATTATTGCATGTACACAAAACTGTATACACCTTCCAAGTTGAACTGTTACATTACACTAAACTTTACTTTAAATAACTATAATTTGAGAAAGTTACCTAATAACACAATAAGAGTAAGGTAATTGTTCTCTCATGCTACAGCATTTAAAAGCCTGTGTTAGTGTGGAAAACATTCATTGCTATCTGATTATATATTAAGAGTAAGTAAGATACTGGCCCCTTTGGATCATTTATTATTAAGATGAACAATACCTATACTTAATAATAATAATGAAACTTAAAGTATAAATCAAAATTAAGATTAACAATAAATGGTAATTAAGCACTTTTCAAAATTACAGCATTACAAAAAATGCATTTGCACTAAGCAAATTATTTTAAAACATAAATTGCATATAAAAATTACATCAACTCGTGCACTTTATTATGTACTTTTAATGCTTTGGTCGATTAGAATTTTTCACATGTGTTTTAAATTCCTTGGGTAACAACTCAGTATAAATTGTTCATTGCTTATTTTTCCACTGCTGTGACCAGATATAACGGTTTTGTTTTTAACACATTCTCCATTGACATCTATTCTTTTCTTCTCTGTATGACTGTATTCTTTTTCCAACAGTCTTGGTTATTTGTAATATAGTTACACTCATTATGAGGATATGGAGCTGTTAGTTCCATCCTTTGTGTACTTAGGAGGACATTTTTCCACTTGTTACATATACAATTGTTAGAGGATATCGGAAACAGTAAGGTCAGTAAACATTAAAACTATCAATAACCAAGCAGTTCTGTAATTGAAATTAAATTCATGCATGCTTATATGTAATATTTAGAAAAAAATAATTTTGCCAATTTTGATAATTATTTCTGAAAAACTGAGAATAGTTAACAAAACTTTGGAATGCAGCATGTATTGATTCACAATTACATTCCCACATAGTCACAATATTGTATATTTCATTTTCTTCAATGACTTGATAAATCCTTATTATGATTACAATAATTGTTTAGTGTTTGTGTGGACCAAGCCTATTTTTGTGGTGGAGCTGAACTCTTCTTTTTTTTTTCCAACAAGAGATTTTTAAATTAGTCGAGATATCATTTATAATTTAATAAGTTTATTGAAATTATTCACATTATATATCAAATTTTTACTTGTAAAAAGGCTTATAATAATATTTGATTAATAAATTACTCTTATTTATATTTATGATTATGAAGTTAAACTAAATACAACCACAAGTCTGATTTTAACAATTCAGCCATGCTTTTTCCAAGTTTTCTATGATATATTGCATCTCAATTAATTTGTATTGATAATGCCATTATATTTGTATATTAGTAAAATAAATATTTTAAAATTTAAACAACAATTTTCACATAATTATATTTGCACTTAAATTGATTAATTTCGAAACAAAAATTTATCTTTACAACATACCAAAACTTTTAATGTGACACCAATGCTTCCAAGTTCCTTTTTGACTTAATTTTTGCCTCATATGCCACTGGGTGTGCATACAGTACTCCCCATCTTTCCTAGCTGGATTTTGTTGAGATACAACAAATACTAAATTTTTGAGCTCCTGTTTGTTTTTGGTTACAAAAATAGTACTGGTGGCAGTGATTGGTAAATTTGTTTCTTAAACTTCTTCAGTACTCCATACAAACTAGCTTTAAAACAAAATCCTTGGAGAATGAATTTAAGGTCCTGCAATTGGTAAAAAATATTTCTTTAGTAAAAATCTGTTCCAAGTTTCATAATGTTAACATGATGTATTCAAACAACTGGAGACACCTTACTTGAAATAAAATATTGGTTTGCAGAGAGCAAAAAGCTATATGTAATTAACAAGATTTTGCCTAATACTGTGTATTGAAGCAACCTTTAATTTTTGGTATATCTTTATACCTTGACCAAAGTAGTTTTGTAGACCCTTAAACCTCTGAATCTGAAAAAAATAAAATGAACAGTGACAGATGACTAGTAATACATGTTTTCATTGTTGTATATTATTGTTCCTAATTTTTCCTCCAAACTCAAGCATTTCAACAACACAGATGATACAAATAAGTCAGTTTTTAGGATTATTTTGGTTTCATAATAATCTGCAATGTGCCATTCTGAAGTTCTTTTAAACTTAATCAATAGACCCTACCTGCATGCCTAAAGTTGTGATCCAACATGCTTTCGTAAATTTTAATAATTATTTGAACCCCTCGGTAATTCTAAGAACTTAAAGAGTGAAAGAAGGAAGAGTATGTAATAATGTGTCAACAATACTATACCTGCCATATCCAATGCCAGTGAGTCCTTTTGCCTAATACCAAGGCTCATCAGGCCAGCTGGAGTAAAACAGATCTAGGCACTATTTATATCGTCAATTGTATGACTGTTATGATGTGAACTAGATTAAGTAAATGACTTGTAATTAATACAAAAGCTATTTAAATCATTTACAAATCAGAATTATGGTAAGTCAGATTAGAAACATAATATATATATATATTATTTGTTTATAATTGAAACTAGTTATTTATTTATTTATTATTGTTTTTATTTGAATTGACTTTACTATCATTCAGAAGAACTGGTGAAACAGCATGCTGGTCTTCTTGTCCCCGAAGTAGGTTAAGCAACCACAACTTCAACTGGAGAAAAATTACAGTAGTTGTTCTAAGAACTTATGAGTGGAAGTAAAGAAGAATTTATAACAATGTCATTCACACTATATCTGTAATATCTAGTGCCAACAAGGCTTTTCATCCAATACCAGGGCTCCTCAAGCTGAGCATGAGCAGCAACTGTTATGGTTTGAAGTAGAGTTACTGAAGAGTCTGATTTAAAATCCATATTGGATAAACCAAGAGGAATTGAGAAAGAAAATGTAATATAATACAAATTTTATCAAAAATATCAGGTATACAATGCTTTGCCAAATTTCATCAGTTGAAACCATACAATACTACTTCATGATGATGAGGAACCCACTTAAAGTAAATATGTATATTTATAGTAGAGACAGCTGATATGGGTATTAAATACTTTTATTTAAAACACAAAACAGTTAATGTTTCAACCTACTTCGGTCATATATACACCTGGAAAAAAGTTAAGCACCCCCGTGTTTTTTCAAATGATTCAGATTCGACGTTCTTGTG